CATTGTTCCTTCAATGTAGGCTGGCTTGGACAAGTTCAAAAGCTATCAATGGGAGACCCAGACAAGACGCTGTGATGACTTAATTTCCTCAGAAAGTAGGTTAAAATTTCCCTTACTTATAATGGACCAGATTCCATGCTTAACCCAAAGATCACTCAAGATACGCTCCTACAAACCTAGGGCAAGATTTATTCCAAGAGTATATGAGTCAAAGGAACTATGAGATGTTTTAATTTGTGCCACTGGCTAATGACTTCCAAGAAGCTGTTGTAAAGGTAAGCCTCACATTTGGTAAAAGGGTAACAAATGTCTCCCATATTTGGCTATGCCCTTACTCCTGCAGCAGTATATTCCTGTATTGTTGGAGCTACTATCATGATTGCATATAAGATGATAACCTTTTCCATGCTAAAGATGCATATTTTTAAGTTCAGATTGATGAAAATAGTGCTTGGCATACTCTATTCTAGTAGCCCTGACATGGAAAACTATCTGGCCCAAGAAATAATTGTGTTTAACATTCAGATGCTATAAAACAATTTGTCTTTTAAAAAAAGTGAATGCTGAAATCAATTCAAATTAAACTATAACAGCATCAGCAATCCCAGTTTCTTAATGAAAGGATAGGAGTTTCCAGGCAGAAGTTATTACTAACCTCTTCAATGCCCATAAAAATACCATAAATAACTAAGAATTTGACAAGGAGAAATGACTGCAGCTTGAACAACAGTTTTCTCGGGATTTAATTTTAATCTCCAGTCCTATTTCTCCATTGCAATGTCCAAAAATTGACATTGATAAATTTAAGCTTATTTTTAGTCTGCATACCTCAATTTTTGTCACAAACCTCTTAAAAAAGGAAAGCCGCTAAAAAAAAGTTGTGCCTATTTCCCTTTCTAAACCCATCTTGCCTCTCTGTAGGCAGACAACTATACCTAAAAAGCTCAGTTTTTCAAAATAGCCTGTGATTCTTGAATACCCAGGTCTCTCTTGCATTTTGGGAACTGTATATCCAGATAGCCTCCTAAACCTGTATTGACTTAAGCACTTAAAATCAATAGATGCAATTTTCAAGAGAGAAGAATTTCAACCATTTCCATTGTTGCAGCTGGACACCTCCACATATCTGAAAATCAGATCAGTGTTTGAAATGCCTATCTCTGTTTTAGAAACCTATGTTGAAGTGTTCAGATCTGAGATTGTGAGAAGTGAATAAAGGTTACAAATATTGCCTTTTGCAGGAACTCAAAGGTTTTTAAAAAGTGGTCCTATACTAATATCTCACCTATCTGTAATCTACCCTCCTTGCCCACAAACAAAGAGGAAATAAATTTTATTTAATTTTTAAAAAGAAGAAAATATTTCCATAATTCCCTTCTAACTTAAGTGTTGAAATGGCACATAACATCAGGGTCTAAATCCCATATTAGTGGTGGATAAAGATTGTTTCTCAGATCCTTCAGACCCTCCAACTCTATTTTCAGTAGGAAAAGAGGGATGGAAAGCTGGAGGAATGCTTGTTTAGCACACTGATCAATAGCTTCTGAGGCTGTTGTTTCAGCACCAGCAATGGTCAGTGTTCTGAAGCTGTGTACAGCTAACTGGAATCCATATTTGTAATAAGCTTGGTTAATTTGGATAGAATTTGTTAGATTGTCTTGACTGATGTGAGGTTTACTCCTAGTCCAGGTACCTTCCCTTTCCAGGAGTTATTCAAAAGATTAATCATTTCTGATAGGTAGGATATATATATATATATATGTACTAAACTAGTAAAACATATCGGGGATGCTTTTCAATTCTGGAAGAGATTCAGGAAGCTGCCTTTTCTTAATGGCTTTTCTCTGGAGGCATGTTTTCTCCTCAAGTAACTAAACCATATCCCTGAAAGCTCAGTCATTTCTTGCTTGGCAAGCACAGAGGAGTAGACCTGAAGACTTTATTGTTTCTGATACAACAGCTTTCATCACACTTCTTTACTTTGTAATAGTCCACTGTGTTTATGTTTGTGTGTATGGGAAACATGATGTTTGCTGTCACAGGACATGACTTACTCTCAAATTAAATTGTTCACAGTGTCTATAGCAAACCTTTGAACGACAAAGTGATTTCCTGAGCTCCACTCACAAAACTGTTTTTGTGATTGTGACCTTGTCTTACAGTTTCAGAATTAAAGTGCTGCACACAGAAATTATTAGTGTTTGTTGCAGATGCTGCAAAAATTACATCATTTGAATTTGAAATGCATGTACTGTACTCCTAATGCCTAAACCAGAACTGAAGCACCTACTTTAAAGTCTCCATGACATAGTGTGCTGTTGGCTGAGGAGGTTACCACTTCCCACCCAGTTTTCTGTGTTTCCCAGTTTCACATCCTCCTCTGAACAAGGATATGATACCCAGACAGATGGATAGTGCATGAGTTAAAGGTGTTCCAGCCTAACATTTTCACACCACCACCATCAACACATTTTACCACAGAATTCTAGGCTGCAAAAGAAGACAGGAGAGAAGCAGATCTGACAGTTTTCTGCTTCTTCCACTACATGGGATATCTACACCCTGACAGAGAGGTAGATGGACTGTTGAGGGCAGTAAGTCTCCAGGTAGTGCGGATAAATCTGAAAATTACTGTGAGCTGAAGTTCTAATACTGCCTCAGTGGCATAATAAAAGTTATTTTGCCACTCCTTGGCTGTAGCAGAATCAGCCAAAAATTTGCTGCAGCCTCTAAAGGAAAAGTATGGCTGTCTTGCAGACTGTGAGATAATGACATTAATTCCTTTATGGCAAAAAAATGAACTGCCTGAACAGCCTGAACTGCCGAATTAAGTTTCATTTTATATCTTTAGTCAGAACAAATCTGGTTCTCACAACCATATCTAGACAAACTCTGTTCAGCTGGGAAGAGAACTGATACTGCCTGAGACCCAGTCAGAATATTCACCTTTAATTCTAGTTCCTTTTCTTGTGGATAACGCTTTATGTTGTACAGAAAATAACACCTGAATTTGCAGTTTCGCAGTAATAGAGAAGCTAATACTCCTTTGGCTTCATTTACGAAAACTAATAGATCATCTCTCCAGTAATGTAGATAGCTTTTGTGCAATTGCCTATGTTGTACTATATTCTGTCTGGAAGCCTTATTACCACACAAATAGAGAAACAGAATGGAGAGTTCAGTCAATGTTATATTTATATTTTTTGCTTGTAAAATGATATGGATGCTGAAGGACTTGATTTAGGAGAAAAGTGTAAGACCTTACACAGTTCATATTAAATTAAAACACAATTCTGAACATCCACAGTTTAAATCAGCAGACAGATCAGAAAGGACTGGAGGGCAAGATAACTAGAAAAAATTGATAGTGTGTATACCAAGTGGAGAACCTCAAGTATAACCTCAAGTATATAATGAACGTTTCAGGATGAAATTTGGAAGAGAAGAGTGGAATATCACAAGCAACACCTTGACAGAATGAGCTGTGTCTGGCAATGAAATAATCTCCTAAGAGAAATGACTGTGCCCGGACTTTTTAAAATCAGACAGAATAAAAATACAAATACCAATTGGGAAAAAGTATTCTGGCTGGGAAGTGAATTGGGTAAGATGACAGAGTAAGAAAAAAAAAAGGAAATAGAGAAGATGTATAATTAAAGCACCTCTGTAAATCTTTTGGGATGAAACATGTTACAGGAATGTAAACCACTAATATTCATGGACCAAAGAAATCATCAAAAGATGACGCATTTAAATCATCAAATGAGCAAAGGAAGTAAAGGTTAAAGTGTTTTTTTATATCAAAGTAACTAGGCTAATTGATGCTATTCAGAAAGTGTACAAGGGATCGATTTCTCACAGTATCATACTACAGAAGATAATGCAAATCTTGTAAAAGTATCTAAGAGAGCTAAGGCAAATCTGGGCCCCACTGGGAAATCACTGAATTTAGAGTGAGAGAAAAGTAGAAAAGGGGTGACATAGTTTAATCAGGGTTGACTTTCTCAACACAAGAAGTTGTTGACCCATAGTTTGCAAGTGACTTCATGCGCATGTGAAGCTGTGGTGTCTCACTTATTCTTTCTCAGCTTTCAGCATTTTGCTTCACGCTAAGGATGAAAGATGGAGATACACTATGGGCCCTGCCATGGTCTGCCTCTTTCCAGCTAAATGTCTGTGAAATGTTCTGTCTTCTGCCTTATAGATAATGGGTGTCAACTCTAAGTCAAGGAGGTGTTATGTGTATTCTGGCTCTATTGAAGTTTTGTTATTGGAGGCATGTTACCAAGGAAAAATGAAGTGCCATGGGGCAGGAAGGTGTTGGTAACAGGAATCCTACATCTCCAACAACAGGAAACTAAAGTAAGGGATAATATATCCCATACAGCTCCTCACAGTACTTTCTGTGTATGCTGAGGGACAATCAGTGTGAGAGATTTTGCGAACATTCTCAGACCTACATCACCAGTACACTCAGATACACAACCTGATTATTAAGAATGTATTAAGAGTTCTGTCCTTCACGTCAGCAACACTATATTCAAAATCCTTTGATTATCAGCTCTTCTTTGTAGAGGAACTATTTATTTATTACAATTTGCCTCCTATAAAGCTATGGCAATTTGACAGAAAAGGACGCTGCAGGAGAAAACCCAGCTTTTAACTGCTTTGTATCAACAGTTATGGTAGTCAGTGCATGGTTTGAATCACTCACTTCAGCTAACGTCAATATTTTGCAATTACTTTGCACTGCTGTAAATAGCTGCAGAAGAGCATCAAGCAAAAAAACATAAAGGAAATTTTCCAAAATAAGGTAAATAAGTTAAAGAGCCAAAAATAGAAGGCAGCCACTTCCCTAAGTTTCACTTATGATAACCCAAGTGTCCTCTGAGTTACCATCTCATAGCTAGTTATAATAACATCTCAGAGCCAAGGGCTAGGTGTAGACAGAAATGCTCTGCTTTAATGATGCCTTTTAACAATATTCCATGTTCTCCTAGGCTTGCTCTGTTCCATCCCAGCCTCCTCAGCCTATTGTTCCAAAGCCAGTTCAATCTGTCATACATGTTCCATTGCAACCAAGCTGCCCGGGCCGAGGCAAGATGGCAAAACTCCTTAATCCAGAAGAGATGACATCCAGGGATTATTATTTTGATTCCTATGCTCACTTTGGAATTCACGAGGTAACACTTATTTATTTACTTATTTTTATCTCATTAATCATTGCAGAAGAAAAAAAAGTTTTCCATGATTTATAGGTTATTTATCCCCCTCCCACAGGCTAACAATTATATTGGTTTTCCCCAGCACATTGGTCAATCTGGTTAAGTGCTAAAGATATCACCCACTACTCAATACTCTGTTCCACGTAAATCCTCATATACGTGTGCGCGCGGGCGCGCACACGCACACGCACACACACACACACATACACATATATATATATATATATA